CCCCAAAACCCCAAAACCCCCAAACAGGTCTTATTTATCGAGTTGAGTAAGTTTAATTAAATTAAAATAACTTAATAATAGGTTTTTACCTAGTTTCAATAGTAAATTAAACTGTAATTCCTTCAGGATATTCATTTCTTGAAGCAGCAAAATCCGCTTGATTATTTTTAAGCCATTTATTTGTCCCTCACCTCCCTAGTGATGCCACTAAGTACACCACTATTCTCATAATCTCCTTTCATATCTTCAGCTTTTTAATTTTTACTATTTGGCTGCAATTTTTTACTTTGATCTGGCTCTTATCTTTCACTTTTGGTTTTTTTCTAAACCTCTGAATTATCATACTTTTTAGACTCTTCTTTCTAACTAGATCCAGTCTTATTCTCTTCTCTTTGATTTATATGATCTTGATAGCTTTGAGTACTTTATTGGCTAGCTTAGCCCATTACTTGAGTATAAGGCATCTCTGTGAGTGACCTATTTTGAGTTATTGCGTCTTTGATGACATTAACAGATAAAGTCTATGGTGCACCTTGTGCCCAACCCTCGATGGCTTTGACCAATACTTTTTGAAACAACTCATTAATGTTTTCCTCAACATCATCTTAGTACTTTTCATTCACTATGTTAAATTGCAATGATTTGAACCTGAAGGGGCCCTGAGCTCTTTTCCCGAAACCCTCAGCAAGAAAGGACTTAGGCAACTGTGTTTTCTCAATGGAAAACAGGTCCAGACAAAGTCTGCCATGAATAGTCCCGTTTTTAGATAAAATATTACGTCTTATAAGCTCCTCATCTGTCTAAATGAAAACATATCCAGGCGAATATTTAATGCCTTTCAATTCTCCTTCAGAGTATATCACTATGCCGCCAATATCTTTTGTAAGCAGTTGATCTACAGGAGCTGAATGGCAACTCAAATGCAAATTCTTGATGATAATTGCTGGGATATTTCTGTTCTTTGACTGATTTCTAGGCACCACTTTAATGCCTTCACTAACATACTCCATAGTACAAGCCTCACTTATCTTTATATCTTCTTCTCCATCATCAAGATTATTAGAGTTGCCAACTAGTTGGTCAACATCTAGGTCATCATTGTCTATTGGATTATGACCATTTTCACCAGCATTGTTGTCATTTAGAAGTCTAATGATGTGATCCTACACCTTCTGAGCAGTATTGGTTGAATGCTTGTGGCCTGGACTCTAATCATGCTAGGAGGCAGAGGTTCCTCGCTCATTTCTAGGTTAGTAGCTAGAGGTGTTTCCAGAGTCAGTGATTAGCAAGGCTGAACCTGAGCTATTATTAGGATTTTGCTCCATTTTATCCAAATTTATAATAAAAACAATAATATTATTATAGAAGAGAACAGCAATAAATGCTGCTTATATTAATTTGCAAAAATTTAAAATCATATATTGCTTAAATTAAAGGATCCGCCAGCTATTAAGAGAATTAATTATTATTATGGAATCACAATAAACACCAAATGGAACAAATATCAAGAAGGAAATCACAAACTCGACTCACGTATATGATGTGGTTATTATTGGAGCGGGCATTTCAGGCCTCGGAGCTGCTAATCACTTAAAAGAACAAGGATATGAAAATGTATTAGTACTGGAGTCTTAAGACAGAGTCGGAGGAAGGATAAGCTCATAGAACCTGAGTGATGAAGTTGTAGTCGACTTGGGAGCTTCTTGGATTCACGGCGCTGGGCCAGGTGCTAATGAAATACCCGAGTGGAGAAATAAATTAAACCCAATTTACGAGCTTGCAAACAAACTTAACATACGAACTGTCAAAACATAAGATGATGTTTACGATTCTTCTTAATAAAAATATTATTGGTACAAGGGAGGTGAAATGCCAAGCGATATATTCCAAGTAGTTGATAAATTCAGAAGCTACTACGAGTAGCATTGTAAGAAAGCTAATAAAAAGCTTAGCATTCAAGACTTGTTCAGTAAATTTGATTTTGGACCATATCAAGACGATGAAAAAGTTAAGAGATTTATTCTAGTTTCTGATTTTGAGAGTGAATATGATGGTGATTCGAGTTAATTATCAGCAAGTCAAATTGATAATTAGTCGTAATTTGACGGTGAAGACAGAATATTCCCTCTAGGTTATTCCTAGATTCCCAACGCTCTTGCATAAAGTATCAGAATTAACTTAAATTCAAAAATTAAAAACATAGATTACACTCGTGATATTATTGATATCCAAACCACAAACAACATATTATATAAAGCACGTAAATTAATAGTCACAGTCCCACTAGCTATCCTGGCATAAAAGGTAATAAACTTTACTCCAGTGCTGCCAGCTAAGAAGATTCAGTCAATTAATAGACTGGGTCAAGGACTCCTCGATAAATTAATAATATAATTTGAGGAGGTTTTCTGGGATAAGAACATTGACTGGTTGACATATGTATCTGATGCGGAATAATCCGACTGGGCTGTAAGCTTCAATCATCATAAATACTTAAGTCAGCCAGTGATTACGATGTTCAACACATACAATTCAGCTGTAAAGTTTTCTCACTTAAGTGATGAGGAGCTTGTTTCATCTGCTTTAGTCGCTTTAAACACCATGTACCCCAGGGCAAAAGTGACTAGAGAAAAAATTAAAGGTTTCAAAAGATCGAACTGGAGTAATAATGAACATGCTAAGATGTCATATACTTTTGCTAAGGTCGGTTGTACACCTGCTGATAGCGAAGAGATCGCAAAAGGAGTGAATAACAAGGTGTGGTTTGCAGGGGAGCATACTTGCTTTGATTTCTTGGGTACTGTTAATGGTGCCTACATATCTGGGTTGAAAGCAGCCTAGAATATTATACAGTCTCTTAAAGCTTGAACCTGAGAGAGATCCCAATAAATTAATGATTTTTTCGATTTTCACAATATCAATGATTATTTCTATAATGAATTCATTTATTTCTTCAAAAGGGGTTTTGGGGTTTTGGGGTTTTGGGG